GATTCATCAAAGGTCACATCCCGGGAAATACGCATCCGGCGACCGACAGGATCCCAACACCGATAGCCCTTATGCTCATCACTATATCCAAGAAAGACACACTCAACAGACTGAGCGGTCAGTTTGGTGCGTTCACAAGGGGCAAGCAAAACATAGCAGACACAACCAAACAAACGGAGCGCTGAATAATTAGGAGAACAACCAAAAAGACGCTCGAGAGGAATACCACCTTGTAGAGCAGCAGATGGTTGAATGTTGATGAAATAGGTGGAAGTAGTAACAGCCTCAACCTAGAAGTGAGGCAGAAGAGAGGCGGCGATCATCAGCGCACGCGCCGTCTCAAGAAGGTGACGATGCTTGCGCTCAGCCACGCCATTCTGAGCATGAGCACCGGGGCAAGAGAACTGAGCAAGAGTACCCTGCTCAGCAAGAAATCCTCACAGCGCATGGGAGATATACTCACTAGTTGAATCTGCGCGAAAAACACGAATAGGAGTGAAAAACTGGGTACGAACCATGGCAGCAATTTTTTTGTATATAGATAAGACCTCACTACGAGAAGACATGAAATAGATCCAAGTGTATCGAGAAAAGTCATCTATAAAGACAATATAGTAGCGATGACCCCCTTTCGAAGCGAAGGAGCCGGACCCCAAACATCAAAGTGAACGAGATCAAAAGGACGCTCGGACACTGACTCGCTGAGAGGATAGGGTAGCTGGATCTGCTTACCAAGCCGACAACCCATACAATCCAATGAAGCGTTACCAGAGACAGACCCCAGAACACCACGATGAACCAGAGACGAGAGACGAGAACCACATAAATGGCCAAAACAATGATGCCACTGCTGAAAAGAGCTGGTAGATGCAACAACAGGGGTTGCGAGACTGGCAAAGGAGGCAGCGGAGGGAAGACGAAGCAAGTCAAGCTCCCAGAGACCATCAGAACGTCGAGGGCCAGCACCAAGTAGAGCGCCCGTGCGACGATCCTGAACAGAACATGAATCAAAGTCGAGAATGACCCTACAACTAGAGTCAACAATCTGACCACCAGATATGAGCTGCATCGTAAGTTGAGGAACATGAGCGACAGAGGGAACATGAAATGAAGAAGTGCTAAGAGTGCCTCGACTAGCTACAGGGAGGGGAGTGCCATCAGCCGTAAGAACACGAACAGGAGACTCGACAGGTCGAACGGTGGTCAAAGTGGAAGAATCATAAGTCATATGAAAAGACGCTCCAGTATCAAGAATCCATGGGGATGTACCTGAATGAGTAGGAAGTGGTTTCTCAATGTCGGAAGAGTCGGTCACGGAACCTGCAGAAACTGTCGGTGAAGAATCCCAATCATCAAGCAGGCATCGCAGCTGTGCAATCTCACATGCAGACAAGGACATGACATAAGAGGTCGAGGTAGAAGCATCTGCCAACGATGAACAGTCGCCACCACCCGTGGAAGCCGAATGTAGAGTCGACCGAGAGTAGCGAGTCGACATAGAGCCACATGTGGAAGCCACATGGGGAGTCGACATAGAGCGGTCACCGCCGTGCGCATAAGCCGCAATAGGAGTCGATGTAGAGCGACTACCAGCACCGATGGATGTCGCAATAGGTGTCGAAGTAGAGCGACAGCCACCACCTCCAAGTGGGCGAGCACCAAGCACCGAGGAACGGCTCATGTGCGAGACGGGATCAATATATAGAACACCGTCAAAAACATCGAGCAGTGAGGGAAAGGTGTACCAGACGGAAACATTGCACTCTTTCTTTTTTTTCTGCTTCTCTTTTTTTAAATCAGCAGGAGAGCCAAGAGCCGAAAGAATTGGCAGACCACTCACGGCAGCCCACCAGGAGCCCAAGCAACCAGCGCCTGTGAAATCGCAGGAATCGATCTGAACAGGAACTAAAAGTGCGGCAGTTTCACACGCACACGACCACACGAGCGCATGCAGAGGCCAACTGCACCGAGAGACCGGGGCCAGACGGGCGGCCGGCGGCGACGGGCGGCGACCTGCAGACTGGGCCGGAGTCGGGCGGTGACGGGCAAACGGGGCCGGAGGAGCAGTCGGGCGGCGACGGGAAGACGAGGCCGGAGGAGCAGCCGGGCGGCGACGGGAAGACGAGGCCGGAGGAGCAGCGCCCGATGGGCTGCGGGCGGCAGCCGAAGGAGCGCCGGGCGGCAGCCTGAAGTTCACCGGCGGCGGTGGAGAACCTCCTCCGTGGCGGCCAGGGCGGCGTGAACAGTTGGAGGAGCCGGAAGGTGCAAGACGCACGGGAGCGGCCTTCAGCCACGCTCTAGAGTGGAGACAACAGCAATCTGGTGGAAAGAAATGGCAGCAGCGGAGATGAGGGGGCGGCCACGCCGGGCAAGAGGAGACGCGACGCGATGGAAGGATCAAGCATGAGTTGCACGTGCGAAAAAATTGACCTAAGCTCTAATACCATGTCAGGAAATATGCAACTTGTATTACTAGGAGGCCAAAACCACCATATATATGATGTACATGAGGATGCCAAAAGGCAAGAATACAAAAGGCCAAAGGCCATCATTAATATAACTCTAACAGTGCTAACTGAAGGAACGCCTTGGCGCGGTGGAGGCAGACCCATCGCAGGAGAGGTCCTTGGCGATGCCACGCCAAGATCGCCACGCCAAGAGCGAGCCTGCGGCCAGTCTTCAACTTTTGTGATCGCTTCTTGTCTCGTGTGGTCCTATGGATGAAGCCCCTTAGGGATCTTGATAACCTCGATGAACTACAACAAGTTGAGGACTCCCTTATTGCCTCGATGCGCCAGGCAATGGGTGCAAGAAGTGAGATCAGCGAGCGAGAGAGCAGTCACTGAAATCTTGGCCCGTGTCGTCAACAGCTTCCATACGATTCATTGACTACACGTGTGGGTTTCGAAGCGTGGCCACTTCCCTGTGTGGCGACTCGATCCCTAACAGCCGGCAAGGATGTTCCAAGCCCTAGTGGTTCATGCTCGTAGGGTCTTTCCCTGTAATAATGGATGTACAACCCAAAAATTTATGTAACTAAAGAAAAATAATACCAACCTCCCCTTCCATGGATTGTTCTTCTCCGTAGCATTTAATCTTTAGTTAATTTTCAACTCCTTCCTAGCCCTCGAGCTGCTTATCCCAAGGGCAGTGTCTTGGGTCAGGTGGTCTAGCCTGCTTATTCTGGAATGTGCAAGCAGGTTGCGATTTCCTAGTCATCTTTGAGGTCGTCCCCTCTTACCCCGCTTACTATACAGGTTACCACATGGCAACTCTACCCCTCTACCCGAATGCCATGCAATGCCAAGGCCGGAGCACCAGTAGTGTTTTGAAAGGGGCTTATTGTGGCCTGCCCCAAGAGATCAGGGTGCTCAAGTTGGCCCTAAGGCTGAAAGAGGTGTGGGTTTGCTAGGAGGTACAAATATCTTGGGTAGGCAATTTAAGTGCCATGTCTAACCTTAATTAATGGTTAGGTTGTCCCTCTAATTTCCGCGCGACCATCCCGGTCATCCATGGCTCAAATCTGCCTTTGTCTCATTCCTATTAGAAAATAGTCTACATGAGGAGCGAAGGGTTAGTCATGAACATTCTCGACCGAAGTGTTGTCGCAAGTATACTTTGGCTATTTGGTTTATTCGATCAGCCAAGTTAGTTTAATTATGGATCGTTAAGTTGGTTGCTTGACAAACCATTCTCTAGTATGACTAGCATCTTGCACAGAATATTTTATTGCTTGCATTGTGTACTAATGAACAACCATAAAAGAAGAATGTTTGGAGGTCACGTTCTGCAAGCTAGTTCGTAGCTTCTGCCTAATAGCCCTGGAGTTTAAATCATCTTTGTCGTTTTGTTCAAAAAAACGGTCGTCTCTCCTCCACGAAAGCGAGGAGTCTGTGGTGCAACACGGATCAATTGTGTGTGGCAATAAGAACTCTGCGACGCAGAACTCTCCTCCCTGTGGACGCCCGCAATATCTCAGTTAAGACATACCCATCTACGCATGAGGCACCTTATCATGGTTTCTCCTCTAAAGGAAAGGTGTCCTTATGCTCACATGAATGGTGTTGCAAGTACTAGGTCGAGAGGTGCATTCCATTGGAGTTGTGTCGACCGATTATCAGATCGCACCCTGGGCCGCATGTTCAGGGGCTCAGCACCCTATGAGTCCAAGAGGCAGTACAAGGTCGCTAAAATACAACTGTTGACCATCATTTCCACCCCTAGCAAGCGAGAACTTTTATTTACTGACGAGGGCATAAGCTTGAAGGATGCCATAAGCATGCCAAAGGTGTTCTTGCTTTTATTACCTCTACCCCGAGGCATTCAGATCTTCCCCTTGGTGGGGGCTGGAAAGCGACGGCGGTGGATGTAGGCTTGTCCTTCCCCTTGTATGGAGGGGTTGGGCATGTTGTTAAAAGCAACTACGACTGAGGTTGACTTGGGAGTTGTTGCTTCCCAAGGACTTATTTTTACCGGACACATGGTCGTTGTGGTGCGACCTTAGCCTGGATGAGCCCGAGTGCTTGTTTAAGAGAAGTTTCATGGCATCTTCAGCATCATGGCTTCCCATGCCCACATGACAGCTTTCACATAGCGTGCCTAAGCCTTTGCTAGGTTGGCAGCGCAAGCAGTGGAAAATAACCCTCAATTGAAGGCTTGAATGGTCGAGTAATCATGAATCTATGAGATGGTGTTGCGACTCCAAACAACGTTGGATTAAATCCCAAAGTGGCTTGTCGTCTCCCTATCGAATGCATTGTAGATTGTGCTTGGTATTGGATCGGCCGTGTGGCCCTAGAAGTTGGACACAAACTTATGACATAGGTCATCCCAGGAGTGAATCGATGACATCAAAATCAGCACTGGATGGCTCCATAATTCATTTGTTGTTTGGATTCATACTCGGGCAACAAAACACAAAAGGATTACTTAGGTACAAACAACTTACAATGAAGCCCAACATTTGTGGACCATTAGATACAAGATTAATGACTACTTACAGCCCAAGTTGGATATAGTGCTACTATTGTTGGAGAAAGGCCACGATACAACCCAGGAAGGCCTTCAGTTTTGAGTATGTGTTGCAATCCTGAAAGAATTATCCTACCTAATAAACAAAGGAACATTACTTAGCAAAACGAAACAAAAAAAAAGATATCATAGTAAAAATGTTGATCATAAAATCAAATGAAGACGGCATGGTGGATTTTACGATTTGGAATGCATGCACATGACATCGGTGCTTTCTGAATATCCAAATTTATCTACCAAGATTCTATAGTGATAATGGCGATATAGCAAGTAGTGTAAATGTTGTGACATTCGATCAATCAAACCATCATATTTATACACACACAAAAGGTTGTATTGTGCAGTCCATAATTCATACAAAAACAACCCCTCTTCAAGTACAAATCTTGCGTAAGTACAAGGCGATTTGGAACACCGGAAATGACTTTATTCTTGAATGAGTCTTGCAAAGTCTCTACAGATGCAGAAGGAAATTCAAGAAAGCAAGCAAAAAAAGGAAAGCATACACAGGGTGACAAGCTCGGCTTACCATTAAGCTTTCATCTAACTTCTTCTACAGCAGTAGAGGGCTCGGGGCCTTGTATTAGTTTTTTGTTTTCCTTTTCTGCCCTTCTATACAGTTATTCTCTCATAAAATACAAAAATACACACATTATCTGCAAGTACGAAACATCTAGTAATAGGTTTTCCACCAGGTTTTCCAGTACCTCACTTGATCTTAATCAAACGGCATTAGAGAGCACCTTACTCCCAAATCACATGATGTAGGCCCCGTTCAGATCCTCTCCAGCTTCCCGAAATAGCCAACTTCGCGAGAAGCCAGACAGCGCCAGCTTCCGATGGGAGCAGCGATCCGTTCGGCAGCAGAGAGCAGCTCCTCTCCGTCAACAAAAAAACAAAGAGAGTTAAGGGAAGGGGCAGCTCACCTTGAGCTAGGGTTAAGGGCAAGGATGGCTTCGGCGCATGGTGACGGGGTGCTAGAGCTGCTGGGGGTGAGGCGTCCTGCTGTCGAAGATGTTGGGGTTGAAGCGTCATGGTGTCGGCGCCCGTGGGGTTGAGGCGTCCCGTTGCCGGCGAGGTGGACGCAGTGAAGATGCGAGGGGCGGTGGCGGAAGACTGCCAGCGGCGCGTCGGCCAGTTGACTGGCGATGGGGTGGCGGCGGCGTTGGCGACTGCTAGGGTTAGTGCTAGAAAGGAGAGAGGAGAGGCGCCGGGTATGACTGCATGTGTGCGGCCGCTCTATATCGCTCGGGGGGCTTCTTCAGATCGAAACGGTACGCATGCACCACTTTGGAATGGCATTCTCGCATAAATTGGATCAACTTCTTCCACTCTTTTAGGAGTTGGGCTTCCGCTGCTCCAAAGAAAATACACTAGTCGGGGACGGGCTCCACGAAGCTGGCTTCTAGGAGCTGACGCGTCCGGGGTGGCTTCTTCCAGAAGCCGGTGAAGCTTGGAGAAGATCCATGAGTAGAGTGCATATTATATAAAATGGAGAAGGGCAACCATGAGGGTAGCAGAGGTGGGTCAAAGTTGGGACCACGGTGTGTACACTGCCAATCTATGCTGGCCATGTATGCTTGTAATCATAGAAGGTTAACCATTTCCCTCTACCGAACACAACATCTCATTAGACCAGTTGGTTGGAGCTGCACTAGCAAGCAGTGGGGCATGATGTCGATATGCTATTGTGCATGTTGTTGAGCTATGTTCAAAATAAGTTCCAGCAAAGTCTTAGTGTTCTTTTGGCGATTATCATCGCTTGTATCTCCAAAATTAAAAGAAAACAAAGTTCGTAAAATGTTCTATTGCACATCTAAATTGGACAAAACCATGCACCTTCAATCTCACTTTTTCTTTGTTGCAGTACCACTTGGGCGGTTGCACCTAGTGGCATGGTTCAAGAAAGCGTTTTTAAGTGCCGCTAAAGCGCTCAAGTGCTGAGCGAGAGTTAATTGCTCAGAACCACCACACTATGGCTAGGGTAACAAGTAACCACCGGTTCTGCCAAAATTCAATAAAAACACCACTTCAAACCCGGTGAGTAACAAAAAAGACTAATTCATGGATTAGCTCGGACAAATAGCAAAACCGACTAGCAGGACCCACCCGTCGGGCTGACACGCATGCTTATGTGTACACTTTTACCCACCTCTTTTCCCCTTTTTCTCCTCTCTCCCTCCCCCAAATCATCCATGCCATGCCGATGTGGAGCTCGGTCCGTGCAGCCGGAGGGAACGCGCGCCGAGGGGACACCACCAGGGAGTAGAAGCCACCACCGCGAAGCCAAATGCCCGAGCCATGGAGCGACGACGAGACTTCCGCCATGAGGAAGCCCCGCTGCCTCCACTAACCACGGTCTCTCCCCGACTCCATTTCCCCCGCTTGTGCATCCCCTTTTTCCTGCCACGCAACTCCTTTTGTGTTGATGGAGGACAAGGGTGTCATGGCCAGCAAGGCGTTGTCGAGAGGACACAAGGTGTGGTTGAGGACTCAAGTTCATGGTCGACGGCCACGCGTTGTGTGCCACCACTCCTCCAGCCCACGGGGTCGTAGCACTCATTCCCAAGTTGTGCGACAACCTACGAGAGCCCACTCATGAGAGGTTGTCACCGGCTGGGAGAAGCCCTCTTAATGCCCGCCGTCGTGCTGGTCCTAGTCATTATCTTCACTACGCCGCGGTTTGCTAGGAGCATGGGCAAGTGCGGCTTGACCGCACCAGACCAAGTGTTCATTAAGCTGGTGACTAATGGCTCAGACACAACGATTTTGTCATCGGTGAAGGCGTGAAGCCCCGCTATCCAATTCCTTCTATGCCTAGGTTCCTCCGGTCCCTGCTCATGATGCACGCATTAATTTCAGGCCATAAGGCCTCGGCCAACCACGCATCGCCACCGTTGTCAGCCATAGCACTGGAGCAACGCTGCTGCTATTCCACTCCATGCAACTATCCGATCGTCTTGTCCAGGTGCTTGGAGCCCCGCATCAACGAGGCAAGGGCAACAGCACCACCCCGCATCCTCCAGAACACCCTGGCGAGGGCACCAACATCGTCTTCCTCATGCCTGGCGAAGCAGCGAGTCAAGGATCTCCGTGATGTCAACGGCCTTCAGCCACTTGGACTTTCGTCCTCTGCCGCCGCATGAGCATGAGCCACCTGGACTCCTACCTGCTGCCGTCGCACAAACCTCCGAGTCGTCCCCTTGATCACGCTCCTCGATTGCACGTCCTACTTCATCTGTGCCCTGTGGCTCGCACGTCCTTGCCAGACCGCAAAGAGACGTCCCTTCGACTATGTCTCTGCCAAAGGGAAGCCAGACGAAGGAGGCTACAAGTGTGGGGTGAGGGTGGGGGAGAGGACAACGGCATGGTCGTCAGAGCAAAATGGAGCGACGCTTAGGATGATTCAATGAGAGATAGAGAGAGATGGAGGTGGGAGGCTAACAGGTGGGACCCCTGGCCATCTCAACGCACTGTGCATATGGACATGTCAGGCAAGCTTGACAGGTGGGCCCAATTAGTCAGTTACTATTAGACGCAGCTAACATGTGAATCGGTGTTTTTTACTACTCACAGGCCTCTGAAGTGGTGGTTTTTAGTGACTTTTGACAAAACTGGTGGTTAGCTGTTACCCTACCCACAAATGTGGTGGCTGAGCAATTAACTCCGCTAAGCGGCTGATGAGAAAATACAGTGAGAAAGTGATCTTCGATGAGAAATCGGCCTTCTCCGACGAGGAATCAACAACTACGAATGGGAATAGTCTTCTTCGGCGAGGAATCAAGGATCTACAGAGACCTAAAGGGAGAAGAGACACTGGCAAAGGAGAAGCATTAGAGGAGGCGAGTGAAACTGGGAGGTGACCATCACGAATAGGAGTGAATATTAAGTGTTGTTGGTTTCAGTCTGACCCTTTTCTATTTATGATGGACGGTCTTTATGGCATGGAGAAAGATAGGCCGTTTGGATGACATGAAGAGGGTTTTTTTAGTGGGCTTTCATATAGACCAGAGGCCAGATCTGCCATCCGAGAAACGTCTTCTCCCTCAACATGAACTCCTCTCATTCCCTCACCATGGATCTCGAGCTCCTTCTCTCTCGCCACAACTCCTCTTCCTTCCCTGCGATGAGACTGGCAAAATCCCGCTCTTCCCAAAAAATGCTTATGCACCCATTTCTCTAAGCGACAGCCTCTTGCTTCACTTACACCTTACGCTTTTTGAACATTGCCTGGTGAAGATGTTAAGGATAGTCAACTTGAACAGGCAAGTTGCTCGTTGTTGGAGGACTGCTGGTTTCGATCAATTTTGTTCTCACAAACAACTCTCTACATGCTCTCTTTTTTCAAGTTCCAAAAGGGGTCCTGCAAAGGCAGGATTATTTCATATTCTTTTGGCAAGGAGACAGTGAAAAAAAAAAGTACAGGCTAACCAAATGGAGTGTGGTTTGTCGGCCGAAAGACCAGCTGGATTATTCTAGATTCAAATTCCATTGGCAAGGAGACAATGAAAAGAAAAGGTCTGCTAACCAAATGGAGTGTGGTTTGTCGATCGAAAGACGACGGAGGTTTTGGCCTTCAAGACAATAATGATGCCTTAGTTAGTAAATGGTTGTTCAAGTTACTTACTGGATGGTGTTTGGCAGACACTGCTACGTAATAAGCATCTAGGCCAAAAAGCGATCACGGGCTTATCGGAAGCCTGGATATTCGCATTTTTGGGCCAGTATGATGACCGTAAATTCTGAGCTAATAAAAACGCTTTTCGTCGGGAAAAAAAGCGATTATATTTCTAATTTCTCCTAATGCTGCCCGTAATGGGAGTATCATAGGTAGTACCATGCATGACAACTAAGCAATTTTGATGAGGTGGCATTGAATTAAATGAAGAAAGAGATGATTGAGTATCATATTATGATACCGTATCATAATAAATGATGTGCTACTATGTGTCATGCATGACAATTAATGATGCCATCTATGATACTAGTACTATGCACTACGAATGCAGTATCATAATACACTAGTATCATATGCATGATATACTATGATATTACTATATGATACTCCCCATTATGACCGGACTAATTATGTGAGATGTTGCCTCGGTACCAACAAAATGATTTTTGTGAGACTTCCAAATATCAAACAATATCTTCGCAACACTGAACAGTCATCCTCGTCAGGCGAGCAAAATTACCAGGCGGCGCAGTGCCAGGGGAAAGGTTTGAAGGGAGACCGTACACCTGCAGACGCGTCTTGAGCACGTCCAGCGGGCACAGCACCGTCGCCGAGATGACCCCTGCGCGACCATCAACCCCACAAAAGTACAAAACAAGAAGGATCATCAAACCAGCACCAAGGAAATAAGCCCGATACAAGGAGTGGGAATACTTACCAGCCGAACCGCCGGCGACGGCGTTGCAGACCGCCTCCCGGACTTTCACCCGTGCACCGCCGCGACTGCGGCCCTTGTCCTCTGACATTGTGGCACGGGCGCGTGTCGGGAGCCTGATAAATAGAGAACCGAGAAGGAAGGAGGCGCCTCTTCAGTCCTGTGAGTCGACCTTCGGAATTGGCAGCACGCAGCGGCAGCTAGAACAAAGGCGGGATCCCGGGCTTGCTCTCTGGCGGAACGGCCGGACCAGATCGGAGAAGTGACGCGTGTGCGGGCACTCGCTCGCTCGCTCCCCGCTCTTTGAACGCTTGTGGTGTGTGACGGAAAGGAGGACGAGGGCGGCGGCGGAGGGGTAGTGGAGTGGCGGCGCGGTGGAAGGGCGACGCTGCCGACGGTTTTGCAGCGGGGGTGGGTCGGAGAGAAGGGGAAGGGCCGGATCGGCCGGAGGTTGCGCCGCGCAGGTGGCAAATGTAATGCGTGCCGTTCCGCGGTCGCCGCAATCCGAGCATCTCCAATGCCCCTAAAATAGTGCATCACCATTTTTATTTTATTTTTAGGGAAGTGCAGCACCAATTTTTAGACCAAAACGTTGGGCTTCAACACGTGCCCCTATCTCTACTTCTAATATCTCAGTTGTTAGTCTTCGTTTCACGATTAATTTTTGTCTCATCTTTGTCTGGTTTATTTTCGTCCCTCCTCCATCTCCCCGTAATAACCCTCGCATGAAAAAAAAAGGACGACGACAAAGGCCCCTCGCACCAAAAAAAAACGGACGAAGCGAAGGAGCGACGACCCCTCGATCTATTCGCGACGCGAACGACGCAACCGCCGCCATCGCAGATCCCAGGCGCTAGCCGCGGATCCCTTTGCCGGCGCTGAGGGGTCGTGGAGGCGCCGCCGCCGAGGTCCTAAAGGAGGCGCCGCCGCCATCGTTGTGGACCTTCGGGTCGCCATCGAGACACCTCTGTTGAGTATTCCTTCGCCTTCACACGGTGATGGGCATGGTGGCGGAAGAAGGTCGTCTTCTCAGAGCACCGCACGCTGGCCGCCGTCTTCATCCGCGGCCGCACCAACAAGACAGGTATGCCGCCGTGCCCTCGACGTATTCCCTACTCCCATGCACTCATGGAACTCCGCATCGCCTCTTTTGCCCTTTGGCAGACTCCACTAGAAATTCCTATAAAGGGGATTTAGCTTAGAAGAACAATAGACAAATTCTATAATTAATTGTGGATTTCTTCTGTTATTTAGTGTTTCTGAATTAGGTCAAGAATGTACTGCTTACATTGCAGACTGTATAATTCGGATGGGTCTTCTTCTACATGGTGACTATTGACGCAAAGAAGGATTGCACTTCGTCCCCATCTTCTACATAGCCTATACGTACGTGATTACTCAGATTTCAATTTAGTGTGAATATTCACTATCATGATACTTGTCTGCATCAAGATGAGTTGGTCGGTGCTTAATCTGAAATGGTTGCTGCTGTCCAGCCAGCAGCACCGTAGACGAGCCCATCAACAACATGATGGGAACCAACCGTACTTCTTGATCCGGTATCTAAACCATTGATCGTCAGTGTTGTTACGGAAGGTGCGGAGGAGGGAGAAGGTTTTGCCGATAACTGGCACAACGAGGTTAGGTGTAGGTCTGGGCGCTGGTGCTGGTGGAGGCGCACCACTGGAGCTCGACCATGACTCGGTCGGACAGCACTTTGAGCCATCATAAAAATATCATGATCATCTTTTGGCGAATACAAAGGTGTTTATAACCTCATAAGCAAAGACATGTAGTATTGCTTGTATATTTAGAGATACTATGGGAATTGATACACTCATAGCTTTTTTTTCTTAGTTGTATGTTGTGTTGTCACTTTTTTCTGATCTCTGTCATGCATATGTTTTGACTAAATTATGGTTGTTGTTTATGGTTGTCAAATTAAGCCATTGATAGAGATAAGCAAAAGTAGTTGTTGATTGACCAAGCGGAGAGACAACTTAGAGACACTATAACAGTTAGGAATTTAAGTAGCGGGACCAAATTATGTCATGCTTTATAACATGTCATCGATTCTTCATGTAGCTTACTACTTGATTCTAACACTTTTTCTTTGGATGCAGCAAGAATCATACCCCACCCACACGGTGGCACGACGCAGAAGGGCTACATGGGTCTATAGCGGCGCGTGCAATGGAAGGACACCTATGGGAACAAGCTCACCGAGGTCTTGGAATTCCAACCTAGATAAACAAGTGAACTCATTTTAACAGTTTTCCTTTTTTTGTGATGCAGGCTAGCTCATTCATTAAGGGCTACTCAGCTCTGCTTTTGCCCTCCCTTTGGAGATTGGATTATATGGTACTCTGTGTTGAAGGCTCTTCATACTAAATTTAATAAATCTTGTCATGTTTTCATAGGTTGCCTATTTTCTCACCCTGCATGGAATGGTGAATGTTTGTAGCATGGTCACTTGGTCAGGTTTTGATTACTTTTATCACTGCACATACCTTCAGAAAATAACCCAATGAGGCTAGCTCGTTCTTTCTACTTATACACCTACACATGGGATGCTCTGTTAATTTTGTTGTGCAAATAATCATTATTCCTGTTGATGAACAATGATAATGGCTCCCAAAACTACAACACTTGCTGCTTCAGTGTATGTCTACTGTATCGTAAAAGAATATGATTATATCTTTTGCTTTGTAGTGCCCTGTTCACGAGAATGATGCTGAGAAGGCAATAGGTCATGCATGCTAGCTTTGGCATGGACACGCTTCAAAACTGTCTCTGTCCATAGGGTTACTGATTACTGCTTGTGATGTTTAAGAGTGATGCACAGGAACAGGATTATTTTTATGTGAAGGTGGATAGAAATAACTTTACTTGAGAAGGAGCTTTTCATTGCATCTGATTTGTACTATCAGTATCAGACTTCATTCCTGTGAAGTAACATTTGGGCAAAATGGGCAACATGTGTTTGGTCATTGCCGTGCTTTGTTTCTTAGGCTCGTGCTATGATAACTTGATGACACCCCTTTATAGACATTATAGTATAGAGCATTCTCATGCATTAAGTTCAGTGCAAGGAAAATGGATAAAGTATGCAAACTGGAACAAGATAGTTGATCCTTTAAATGGGGAGTACAAATTTATTGCAATAATCTATATATGCCCTGCAGAACCTGTACACCTTGCAATAGGTAGAGATGGCTAAATTTTGTAGCTTTTTGTTCCCATTTTTCCCCATGAAAATTACGGGAAAAAGAAACTATTCATGGAGCGTTTCAGTTGCTTCCTATATTATGGATTTGCAATGAGCACAAGTGATAGAGGCAAAGGTGTCCCGATGTTTTGATGAGATGGTGGCTATCGTTTTCTGTGGGAGTCGGCCTTGACGATCCGACTACGAACGTGCGAGACGTCGCCCCTTAGCAATCGCTAAACCAACTTTCGAGGGTTATTGACCACGCCGGAGCACGATCAACCTGACCACGAGGGTCTGTTTCCTGCAAGCAAACAAAGAACAAGCAAGAAACTGAGATTGCAATCTGGATATTGCGAATATAAGATGAAAGCTTTATTGATCAAGATGGGGTTCTGTGACGCCTTGGTCTGGTCGTTGAACACAAACGAAGTACGCGAAGTTGCAGCTATGGCGAATTTTTAATCTAAACAAAACCCAAAGTCTAAACGATGGCCTAAGGGTTGTATATATGGAGGAGAGAGGGGAATTTTGTGGCCCTTGGTGGAGGGGTCCGAAACCAACCCTAACTCTTGTTTCCCCACACATACGGACTCTAAAAACAGCCTATACTTAAGTACTTCGAAAATACATGGGCCTGGCTCAACAATAAGGTGATGCAGCACCTAAAATAGCCTCTGGACGAAATTTATGAAGTGGCATCTTGTATATTTCGTCTCAGCTTCATGCACTCATTATGGTGGCTTCAAAGTCCTGGAATCATCACTTGTAACTACGTTCTTGATCCCCTTGCGCATGCCATCATCTCCATGCTTGAACTTGCTCCAAGGTTCATCTTTCTTGTCCAAGCTAGGCCCTTCATTTGTAAGCAAAACAAATGTATCCAATTTAGGCAGCATCATATTCTCATGAACATTAGAATCGTTACCAAGAAACGAAAGTACCTGATAATTCAATTGGCGTGCTCGAGCTCTAGTAATCGGTCCAGTATGTATAGCAGCAGGGGTTGTGGGTGTAACAATGGTATTGATGTCCTCATCATCCTCCCATTCTTGAAATGAAGTCGTCCTCGATGAAAGTTCATCGTCCTCACCCAAATAAGGCTTCAAATCTGCAATGTTAAAAGTGGGACTAACCCCAAAATCTGCAGGCAGCTCAAGTTTATATGCATTATCATTTATTTTCTCTAACACCTTAAAAGGACCATCAGCACGTGGCATTAGTTTTGATTTGCGCAAATTAGGAAATCTATCCTTACGCAAATGTAACCAAACAAGATCTTCAGGTGCAAACACAACATTTTTTCTACCCTTATCTCCAGCAAGTTTATATTTAGCATTCATACGCTCAATGTTTTCCTTAGTTAACTCATGCATTTTTAAAATCAATTCAGCACGTTCTTTAGCATCAAAATTAACCTTCTCCGAAGATGGAAGAGGCAACAAATCAATAGGTGCACGAGGTAGGAAATCATACACAATTTCAAAAGGGCACATCTTAGTAGTAGAATGCAATGAACGATTATAAGCAAATTCAATATGAGGCAAGCATTCTTCCCACATTTTCTTGTTATTCTTCAAAACAGCCCTAAGCATAGTAGACAATGTTCTATTGACTACTTCAGTTTGTCCATCAGTTTGGGGGTGACAAGTAGTACTAAAAAGCAGCTTAGTCCCCAACTTAGACCATAAACATCTCCAAAAGTGGCTAAAAATTTAGTATCACGATCTGAAACAATAGTATTTGGCACACCATGCAAGCGAATAATTTCACGAAAGAACAAATCAGCAACATTAACAGCATCATCGCTTTTATGACATGGTATAAAGTGTGCCATTTTCGAGAATCTATCCACGACAACAAATATGCTATCCCTCCCCTTC